CCCACTTCGCCCCCACAGGGACTCACTGAGAGGCTCCCGCCGCGGCCCAGAGGACGAGGGAGGCGTGTATGAGACAATCTCCAAGCCAGAGTTCAAGAAAGTTCCCGAAGACCTCCAGGTCCGAGAGGGTAACCCGGTGAGACTGGACTGTCTGGTCACAGGACGACCCGCGCCGGAACTCTTCTGGTACAGGAACGGCGTGCAGGTGCACAGTAACGACAACCACAAGGTTAGTGTGACATGCAGGGTTACTCATGTCTGTTGTCTGTGTGAGCGGTGGGGTGGTGGTGGGGTGGTGTGGTCACATCAACGACAACCACAAGGTTAGTGTGACATGCCGGGTTACTCATGTCTGTTGTCTGTGTGAGCGGTGGGGTGGGGTGGGGGGAGTGGTGAGGTCACAGCAACGACAACCACAAGGTTAGTGTGACATGCAGGGTTACTCACGTCTGTTGTCTTTGTGAGTGGTGGGGTGGTGGTGGGGTGGTGAGGTCACATCAACGACAACCACAAGGTCAGTGGGAGGGGCGGGGTCACCTCAAGGTCAGTGGGAGTGATGGTTGGGGTGGCCGGGGGGAGGGGGAGGATAATGGTGGGCTCACAGCAATGGCAACCACAAGGTTAGGCCCAAGCCAGACTGCGGAAGGCGCTGGCCTGGGGCTGGTCCCCGACTGGTGGCTGGGCTATAAATCACGTGTAATTATATAGTGCCGGCCAGACCGAAGATGGTGGAGGTCCAGCCTCGCGCTCCACCAGTCCCTGGCGCCAGGCCTGGTAGTGCAAGCTCTATTTTTTCGTAGCCCCAGGCTGGTAGTAGCAGTTCCGAATCACCATTCGTTTTGGCATTTTGGCAACATTTACGGACAGATTTAACAAAATTGTTAAATATATTGAAATAATGCATTGGTTGCAACCTTATTCGATACAAGTTTAGTGGATTTTGTGTAAAATGCGTCTTTATTTCACGATTTTATGTCAACAGTAAGACAAAGATCGAAACTAACGTCTGCTGCTGTTTTAAAAAAAATATATTGTAAATGTTTTTTGGGGTGAGAGGGATTGCAAAGTATTTTGTATTATTTTTGTTTTCGG